GTAGATCTTCAGGGCTGTTTGTCCTTTGTTGTCCTGGCACTTCATTTGCTAGCGCACTTGGCCCGCAATCAGGCGTGAGGCACAAATTGCGTCAACTGTCAGCTAAGAGCTGCAGTTGCAGTTGCAGTCGCCTGGGGCAGGGGCACGGGCAGGTGTGCCACAAAGTATGGCATGAAACATGCGACGCAATTTGAGCCCACATTAAGATTTACAGTTGGATAGAAGGCACGCGGCGGCTGCACTTTGTTTGCCTAACGGTGAACCAAGCGAAGGCTGTTGCAATTAGAAGCGAGCTGCGATTGAGTGGAAGTGATTAATGCCAGGACAGCTAAGAAATGCAAAGATCAGCAACAGGACTCGTTACCCACTCAAAAGAAAAGAGGAGAAAGAGAGGGGAAGAGTACGAGAGAGAAACTTTGTAAGCCAAGTGCGCTCAAAAGCCAGGACAAGTAGCAGCAGCAAAAACTTGGTAAGTCCTTACGACAGCTGCTGCTGCTTACACGAGTGCCACGCAGCAAGAGCTGACGAGCAGGAGAAGCGGGCAAGTTCTCAGAAAAAAGTTCATTAAAATTATGCCCTTTTCTAATTTTGAAAACGGCCTGGCCACTGGGGCGGTGGGCGTGCCTCTGCGTAAAGTTTTTTGCAGCGTTGATAGGCACTTGTTTTGGCCTCCACGATTTTTGCTTTTGACAATAATCACTGGACTGTTAATTTGTTTGCCGCATATATTTTTTGTACGTTCTCTCATATACTTTTCCCTAATTTGTTGTTGCTGTTACTGCTGCTGCTGCTGCTGCTGCCTCTGCTGTCTTCCAGTTGAAGAAACTTTGGCGCATTTGAAGCAAATCAAATGAAATCAAAGTTTTCAACCAAAAACACAAACAAAAACTCCAGTAAAATATTCAAGGCTGTTAATGGGAGGGAGGTAGCTCGTGCGAGTCGTGGGCGTCGGCCTATAGCGTCTTGGTCTGGGCGTGGCATACGATTCGTTAGCCTCAATCAACTGTCCCAGTGAAAGGGTTAAGCCTACTCACAGCAGCCTGCCCATTGGTCGAACTGTTTTCGCTGCTGCCCACTTGCCGTAAAAAGGGTTGCGTCAAAGGGTTTGTCAAAGGGTTAAAACAATGAGAGCTCAACCCTCTCCTATCCTGCCCACCCACCCCTTTATTTCTGACCGAATGCCTGCATTTGCAATTACTTTTTATGCTCAGCCATTGCTGCTGCATTTGTTGCTGCGGCCACTTACCCCAGCTCCAGCCACGGCCTCGTCTCTGCTTTATTTATGGCCAAAAGCTCAAACGTGCCAACGAGAAGAAATAAAAGAGAAAGATGAACAACAGCAACAACCCCATCTGTATAGCAGCAGCGACAGTAGCAGCCGTCGCCTTGCTGTAAAATATGCAAATTTTTTTTCATTACACTTTTTAAATACACACACTACCTTAGGGAGGTATAAAAGCTTTGTTATGTCGTTTAGTCAATCAGATAAAGAGATATGATTTTGGTACAAATAATATGTGTAAAGTAAGCATATAAATTAATTATGAATGGAGACATAGAAATATACCTCAATCTGGGTATATAAATATATATAATATAACTATATATTTCACTTTCTGTTACTAGGCTAAAATATGTTTTTGAACATATTTATATTTTAATTATTTTATCAAATATACTTATATTATTATTAATTGATTAGCTTCCAACTTGTTAGCCTTTGGTTACGGTATATAGTCTTCGGTTTTATGATTGTCTTTTGTCTCTTTGATTTTATTTCAGTTTTGTTTCGCCTGTGTAACGGTAAAAGTCACAGGGTTGCTAGTAATAAGCCCACCTCCACAACGCTTGTGCCTACACCCACCTCCTCAAGCTCCCACACCCCCCGGCGTTTGTTGCCACAGTAAGCACCCCCATCACTTAATTTATAACAAATGCTGCGTCTCCTGCTGCTGCTTCTTCTTCTTTTGCGTCGGCTGCTTGTACTCTTAAAAAGTTGCGCGACGTTTTTTTTCCAAGGGTTGGCGCAAATAATTTATGGCACCCGTGTGTGACTGTGTATGCGAGTATGTCTGTGTGTGTATCGCCTATGTCTGAGGTAAGGCTTTAACTCGCGCTTGGCTTCGCATCTCGCATCAGCTTAATGAGAAAAAGGCCACGATATTTGCGTCTTCAGCTTCAGCTTTAGCTACAGATACATTTACAGTATCCTCATCCGCATGCTCGTCCTCGTCATGTCCTTTCATGTGCCATGTGCGTGTCGCCTTCCTGGTCCTTGTTCTCTCTCATTTGCGCTTGTGTGCGCATTGCAATAATTTAAATTTCATTAGAATTTGGGGCATAAGGCACGACAGAAGGACACAAGCAGCCCACAATTTTTTTATGGGGAAGGAGTACGACCCCTTTTAAGGGCAGCCAGGATCTTGAAAGTTCTCGTATTAATTGCATTTTATAATTCATACTGAATAAATTTACTCAACTGGCTATCATATTGAACTACTCAACTTATTCATTGAATGAATAGGTGAAAAGCTCATGATGTTAAGACAATCTTAAGCAATACATAAAAGCTTTTATTCTTATTGTTATTGCTACTCATCAAGGCACCGATCTCTTCTTTTATTCTTCTATTAAGCTATTCAGCAACTAGCATCACTAACATCACTGATCTATACCAAGCGCTCCCAACTGAATAAAAACAATCAAATTGTAAAATTGGGAACGATACAGCTTGTAAAGTTATGAATTATTTTCCAAAAATATTAGTATAGGTTTAGTACATATACTTTAGTACATATATTTATTTAGTCATAAAAAAGTCCATCTATTTTCCTCTATGACACTCTTTCGCTCCCTCTCTCTATCCTTCTATCTGCCCTTTTCAAGTTATTAATGAAAAATTGTCATTAAATTCAATAAATAAAATATTCAGCTTAGTTTCGAATAACAATAAATATTTTGTTCTGTCGAGAAGATACTTTTGCAGTGAAATGAATTTCCATGCGCTGCTGCCCATCGATGCGCACTCACCCACACCCACACCCACATCCATACACATCATACATATACATACATACTGAGCAATTAAAATTTTCCATTTCATTCAACTGCAAATGGAGAAAAGCTATCGAACAAAGTTTCAGCTGTTTCAACATTTCGTTCGTTGTTGTTTTATTTTCTCTTTTCTTTGCTTTGCTTTCACAGATTTGTTTTTTTGAAGTTTGGACCAAAGTTTGCGGTAAGCAGAAGCCCCCAACCGCCAGCCAGCTGTCAACCCTCATTGGGGCCGCTCATTTACACTGAATTAAGTTGATCATAAACATGGCAACCGGGCCTCGACCCCTGGACCCCAGAATCCACTGTGCAGCAAGCTAGGCCTGGTCTAAAAATAAGCTCTGCCAAAGAGGAAGAAAAATTAAAGCGCCTGTCACTTGCAATTATTTGGCCGCCAGGCAAAGCTTCGCTTCACTTCCTGGCCACCAAACGCCCAACCTCCAACCTCCAGCACCCAACCCGAACCCCACTTGAACCACATTAACCAAATCTGAATCGAACCATTGAGTTGTCTTGGTAGAAAAAAATGAAACCTCAACGATTTTTGCCATCAATTATTAAGCGTGTGCAATTGTTGTTCGGAAACTCGAGATTAATTAATGACAGACGCCCCAAAGCTGCCAACAACGATTCTCGATTCTTGCTCTCTATGTATCAATACCTCTATATAGAAAGAATGCGTTGCTAGCTAAATCGAATGTGGAAACCCGTTCGAGTTTAATTGAAGGCAATGCGACGATAATTTGCATATGAAAGCAGAAGTTTGTGAGGCACGCGTCGCCCAGGGTAACACATCCTTTTTCATAAGCATTTGCATAGTGAAAATTTATGGCTGCTAAAAAATGACACCTCTCAGTTTTTTTCACTGCAGCTGCACTTTATGCTAATGTAAAAAAAAGTAAACAGGATTTGAAAGGGTTGTTCAAAAAAATGTTCCACTGAAGATCGAATAACCAAAAATGCAGTGATTTACTGCTAAAAGGAAAATCAATCGGAAATTTGGAGTGGCATGAGCATGCGCATCTAAAACTTCTTGTGCTATAGACAATCAATGAACATTGAAAATACTGTATGAGAAACGAGTGTCACAACTAAGAGTGCTTCACAACTTGATAGTTATTGAATACAGTGCCATAGCTGATTATACTCTGGATTGTTTAAGATAAGCAGACAGAATACGATTGAATAATTAAAATTACAACTCCAGTTACAGCCGTGGAGAATATCATAAATGAATAGGGCAAATTACAAGAGTCATTACCAGGTCAAGATCTTTTTGCCAGTATAATATTTTAATAATCGCATTTCTAACATGCTCTTTCCAGGCGCATTATCAGAAGAGAAAGTTTAGATTAAATTCGACAACATTTTGGATTGAATTTCGTGAGAGTGCATTGACTTTTATTGTAATGCTTCTACCAAAAGGTGATTGCCTTTAGTGGGAGCATACTCGTTCGTAAAACTTTTTCAAACAAATCAAAACAGCTTAAAGCAAATGATAAGTTTTGCCAACATATGTATAAATATATATGTATATAAAACTCTTTTTCGCATAAATAAAAAAGGTTCAAATCCCAATCAACTGACATCAATTGCAATCAACAGCTTATGATAACTTTTCTCACACGCTCTATTCAATCAAAAACCACTTGAGTTATAATAAAAAATCATGCCCATCAACAAAAATTATCCTTTATTAAATTGGATATTCGCATGAAGAGTGTTTGCTTAATGCACTCCAAAAATTTGCATATGAAATATTTTGGGACAACAAAAGCTGACAAAAGCAGGCCGAGCGACCCAAGCTGACCAGACCAGGTGCCTGCACTTCACATACACAAACACCCTCTTAAGTAAATGTTCATTATATGATTTGTGTGTTGTTGCTAACCCCAAAAAGTTAGCAAAAACTCTCTGGATCTTTGAGTTTAATGATGGACTTTAATATTAGATTAAATTTGCAGGACTTACATAGATTGAAATACTTTTTTTTAAGCCATTTCTCATAAAATTTTGCAATTGCAGGTGCAAACAAAGCCAGAGTTGGGATAGAGATCCAACCTAGTGGGTGTGGCCACACTCTCCTCAAAGGAGGCAAATTGTCGCTTGTGATGCACAAACTCGAGGCTGACCTTATCATTAAAGCGTCGTCGGGGCTTATTAGCCATGGGCCTATAGCGCCGAAATAGATCACACATTATCTCGTTGGGGTACTTGAGATGAAGTGGGGGTATGGGATAGGGTGTAGGTGCATCATTGCATCTGATAATGGGTTCATCCTGCACAACCGATGTCTTGGCATTGTCATTCTCCCAGACACCTTTCTGAATTTGACCCGTGTGCATGTGATAGAAGACACCCTCGCCATTCTTAAAGCCACGCGCAAAATGACCTTCGTAACGATTGCCATTAGCTGTATACAAATAAAGGGGGCTACTCTTAATCAGAACTGTTAGTAAAAGACGTTTCACTCACCGTAAAAGTGAACTCCAAGCCCATGCCTGAAATCTGTCTCCCATTCGCCCACATAGATGCTGCCATCGCCGAACCATTGAATGCCCAGGCCGTGGCGCCGATTCCTCACCCAATATCCAAAGTACACGCAGCCATCCGTATAGAACTGTTTGCCCATCCCGCATTTCATATCGTCGTACCACTGACCATTGTACACGGCTTGCAGATCTGTGCCACGTTTGCGTACGACTGAGCCGCAGCCTTGGCGCTTACCTTTTGACCACGTCCCACTATATTTAAGTTGTCCCTCCGGCTGTTTCTTCTGCGCATAGTCGCTGGCGGTGCGCTCCGCCGTAGTCTTTACTCCCCAGGCATTGCACTCGTTGCGCAACCAATAACCTTTATAGGTCCCCCCGTTTGGATAGACAAAGGTGGAGCGAACGCCCGTACTATAAACAGGCTTGTTTGGGCAGACGAAGCGTTGTACACAGGTGCGCATTATCAGAAATTTAAACAAATACTATACGAATAAATAATAAATAAAATTGATAATCATTCAATACCCAATCGGACACTTCTGTCCGGCTTGTGTCTTCCAAAATTTCTTGGATTTTATTAGGTTTTTTGTAACGTAAAAAATAAATGTTTTACTGGAACTGGAAATACGTTTCATGAATGCCTTTTCCTGGCCTATTTGTCTTTAACAACCAATTTTTGATTATATCGGCTCAACTGTTAATACTTATCAGGAATATATGTATATATATATATATATATATATATATATATATTATATATATAAGTATATCACTGTACGGCTTTATACTAGTGCCATGAAATATCAGACCTAGCTTCTACCTTGCGATTTATTGCGTTTTATTTTAAGCTGTTTTGTGTTTTTTTTCCAACTCGACGTATGCAGCATATAAATATTTAATTTTAATTGCTCGCAGCCTTTATTAATTATTAAAATATCAATTTTGTGCTTCACAATTTCTGATGCTTCTTTTTTATCATATCTTTTATATATTTTTTTCGGTATCGTTATCTACTTTAGGACATCGGCGCAACCTTAGAACTTTAAGCCGACAGCTTAATGGCCGCCAAATACCTGTGTAGAGGACAACCCCAGTACAATGCCTTGATGGCCGTTTGCCACGCCCACGACCCACAGCCCAGAACCGAGGACCCAACCACAACCACAAGCTCAACTCGCAGTCGCCCACGCTGTCTACTTAATGATAAAAGAAAGGACATTAGCGGACCGCGGCGCATCTTCACATTTGGAGCGCCTTTCAAGTGAAAAGCAAAGAATTAAAAAAAATTAACAACAAAAAGGAAAAAGGAAGCGCCAACAAAATGTGGGGGAAAGGCACAAAAGAGAAAAGAGAGTAAAAGAAAAAAGAAAAAGCAAAATGTGCCACGCGAAAGATTTGAAATTTTTCGTCCGCCCATTTATCAAGTTGCTTTTATTTCGTTGCGTGGGTGTAGTTAAAAATTAATAAATGAAATTAATGTCGGCGACACTTTGTCCTAAAAGAAAGAAGAATAAGCAGCACCACTAGTAGCAGGACTTGGCCAAAAATGGCAGTTGCCAAGGGTTTCCTTTGAGGCCATCCCGAGAGCAAATGCTGCTGCTGCTGCTCGAGCTGTGTTTACATCAAAAACATTTTCATTTGATATATTCAACGCCTAAAAGTCGATAATGCTTTTTGCCCCGACAGCTGCGTCACATGAATTTAATTAGCGAACGCCCAACACTTTTTTCACACTCTCCCAATCTGGACCTGGGTCCATCTGAAGCTAACACAATTAACTGCCCAACGGAAAAGTTAACGAAAATACAAAAAAAAACTTTACAGCTGGCAAAATCTTTGTAAATTCATCTTTGTCGCGGCCGGTGATTAATCACAAAGACGGGCAGCTCTCCACGTGGCTTGCCCCAATGCCCAATGAACAGGTGTAAGCCCAGCTGTGTGTGTGTGTTTGCCCTTAAAGTGTCCCCCTGGTGCTGTAGTCGCAAACTTTGCGCTTAATATGCAAAACTGTTCAAGCTTTGCGGTGGATTAAAAAGTTTGCCAAGCTTCGCTCCCGACCAGGCCAAGCAAATGGAGTAAGACATTAAGCGCTCTTAGCCAAATTAGCGCTCGGGTAGGAGACAACTGTACCCGAGTTTCAGGCACCAAAATCTCATTCTTCTAAGGCCATATACTTCTGAACTGGTGCTGTACGGAACTATAGCTCTTTTTTATCTAAATTTTTCTAATTTATACGTGTATAGGCCTCTTTAGCTAATTCTTCTTGATTCCCATTTATAATTTGAGCAGCTAATATGTTTTGAAGGACCGCCAATCCAATATAATTGAGTCTATAAAATCCAAAGCTCAGTACCAATCGGTCTAAGGAAATAGCTATAGTTGCTCCTAAAAGATAATAATAATACAAAGCAAATAAGCAGATAATAAAAATAACAAAAACTTTATTTGCTGAAAAACAATTTTAAAATATAAACAGAAAGTAGGTCAATTAACTGTCCAGATTTAATCTGGGATCAATTATGCCTCCTCCGGGAGTTATCTCGCCGAAGATGCCGCTTCCTGGATTTTTAGACGGTTGCTTGGGTCGCTGATCGTGACCCCAAGGCGGCAAATCTTCCAAAATTCCTCCTGCAGGATTACGCGAGGTAAAAGTCGGCTCAAATATGGCTGGACCCGGTGCAGATCCGGAATTTGCGCCCGGATTGGGGAAGTGTATGGGATTTACGATCGTACGGCCGGGCGGAAACATTTCATCGAAAGTAGCCGTAGCCAAAATCTCATTAGCTACGTCCAAAAACTTTTTGGACAATCCACGTTCCAGGCCTGGTACAATCTCATTGAGATACAGCTCCTGATTGTCGTTGATCAAGGTGTTGCCCACCTCACCCAAAATACGATCCCCATTGAATAGATTGTCCAGTCGCAGCTTAAAGTCCTTGAACTGAATTCTCATGGTCATCTTGGTGAATTTGACGTACTCCAAGCCGTGTCTCAAATAGCGTGTGCCGCGCATTTTGACAGATGCCTTAGCATTATCTAAAATCAGAGATCACAGTCAAAGCTAGTTTATTGCCATCGTCATTGTTGCAACAAACCGCAATAGCCACGCATGTTGCCTTTGCCCTGAATGTCCAACAGCAGCAGATTGAGTCTCATAGAGTATTTGCCTTGGAAGTCGATGCGTGGCAGTGTTATCCACAGGTCATACGAGATATCCTCTGGCTTGGCTCTAAATAACTTGCCATATAAATGCCATTGCTTGTCATATTCTCCATAACACTCACATAATACGATCGATTATAAAGTTACTGCCTCCTGTTGCCTCCAGCTCCGAGAATGTAGCCTGGAACTGACTGCTGCGTCCCAGCTCAATGTTGTCCAGCTGCAGCGGCTCCAGCGGAGGAGTTCGATAACCATCTCCTAGATTGCCATGCACCAACAGAGGTCGCAGACGGTAGACGGCATTAATGATGCAGCGTTCCAGCTGTGGATCATTGCGAGCACAGGGCGTTATACTAGAGGCTACAAATAATAACAAAAAGTGCGGAAGACGCGATTATAATGGTTAAACTATTGACCTCGGTCAAGAACGTGCTACCTTCGACAGCAGCATTTGCTGCATTTGCAATTTTGTTTACAATAACTATGTCATACATATTATATACATGTCTGGCGTCGGACTTTGCTGTAGACCTTTGCTGAGCACAATTAATATGCGCAACAGCTGCATTGTCGAAATAGTTGCTTTGAGTTGGCTCAGGTCAGTGGCCCTTGTGGTGGAAGACTTGGTGGCCAGTATACTTATAAGACTAAGGTTATACGACTTATTCAGCAAAAGTCTCAGTCAAAAAATTATATTTGTATTAAAGAAGACATTTAGAACTAATTGCATACTAACTAAGCTCAAGCATTATTGAAACTTACAATATAAAAGCTTGACATACACTCATAAAATTGATGTACGCCATAAAAAATTCTGTATTTCTTCCTCTTCGCATGAAATTTCATAAAGGCAAATCACTGAAACAACATTGAAAATCTTGACTCGTGTGACTCGTGAATGGATTCAGTGCTGCCTTAGACTGAGGCTATAATTATAAATAAATATTAGAATTTAATTTCGAATTAAATGATTTTTCATCATCTATTTCAGTCATCTTTAGTTAGTTGATTGTTAATAGTCTCAAAAGCTTCATGTCCAAAATATATTAAAAAAAAATATATATATATATATATTTATATATATATATATATATATATATATATATATATATATATATATATATATATTTATAGATATATGATGTTTGATTTAATGAGACTTTCAGCGGTTGAGATAATCCCTGACATAGACAGATAGTGTCACACCTAAATATTACATTACCTTTGTGTCGACAGCACAATGCCTGGTTAAGGCTGCTTGATTGACTGATTGATGACTGCTTAACTAACTAATACGTTCGACCTACAGCTTTTCGGAGTTTCCCAGATATATTTCCCCATTGCAATCTACTCACGCAATTTGGCGCTGATCCAGTGACACAGAGCCAACATTAGCAGCAGCAGCAATAATTTTGAACTGCGATCAGCGAACATCTTGAGAGGCAGACAATCGGCAGAATGAAACTGAAGCGCGAACTATATATAACTGAACGAGACTGTGCACTGTGCTATATTTATATATATTTAACTGAAAACGAGAGTGAAGCGTTCTCGTTGCGCTCGAGCGATCGACTAAAGATTCGTCAAGTCGTCCGCCGGTCTTTTGATTGAATTAAAACGAAACGTCGGCCGGCGAGACTTAATGCTTAATGCTTGGCACAGCTCGTTTTAGCGACAAAGCGCGTAGATACATTTGTATCTTTGTATCTATTGGAAATTTAACGCACTGCCTCGCACACGGGCACTTGGCATTGGGGCACGTGAGCGCGGCTTGCATGTAAAGTAAAATTTATGTAGTTTTAAGTGAATTATAAACAATGCGTAAATCGCGCCTTGCCTGTAATGTTTAATAATAAATGCAGGCAAATCAACTGTGGAAATTTGAATAATAAATTTGGGGGGAATGGAGCGAGAGAGAAAGAGGCAAATCAAACACTTGACCAGGCGCTAAACTTGTTAACAATTCAAAAAAAAAATATTCGTAGAAACTAGAGAGAGAACAATACGAATATTTTAAAGAAAAACAAAATATTTCTGTTTTTCCAAATGTAAATTTCAGATTTTCATTCTACTAACGAAGCAAACACGAGATTGAGATTTGGGGGTGATAAAGGCAGCTCTACAAATGGCGTTGTTTGAAGTAAGGGGAGAATCGGAGATGAATGTAAGGAAAATGTAGAATTGTAAAATAGTACATTTAATAAGGATAGGAAAAATCATTTTTATAGTCTCTTAAAGATTATAGTTGAAAAGCTCTGAGAAAAAAATAAAAGGGACTTGGCTACTCATTTAAATATCTAAGACGGACAAACTAGGCGATGCCTTTTATGCTGTTATCATTAACTAATAATCCTAAACCAATTATGGCGAATAGTTTAATTTTTCGCTGACTTGTCCTCCAGACTACATTTATACTCGATATTAAGTTTTTATTATAATATTCAATATTATTATGCATTCATTGTATAAATTGTTCTATTCACTCAATTCTATTAACAATAAGAGTCAAATTTTATTCTTTTCAAGGAATTTCACCGAAAACCAAACAAAACTAAAAATAAATTGTGGTTACATTTATTGTTATAGCAAATCAATGAACACTACAAAACTTGCCCATCTTGAAAACTAATCGACAGCGATTCGCATTCATGATGAAAGAACAAAGCAAATCTACTCCAATGACAAAAGGCAACATTTCTGTTCCAATGGATGCGGTTTCCTAAACTATATGATGCTAACCATGTGCCCATATAAAAACGGAAACAAATAGTCTAAAGCCAACCCCCTCGAATGCCTCGCGTGCTGCACTGAAGCGCGCTGACCCTTGACACCCAATGAGCAAAGCGGACGGGGATGCACAATTCCACAAATTAAACCAACAAGTAGTTTCGTTTAATATGTAGTATATACTATGCTACATTTGACTCAAAAGTTACCTGACCATAAAACCTGACACGCATTTAAATGATGGGGCAGCAACTCAACAAAAAAAAGGTGGCAGACCATCACAAACAGCAGTTGCAACCCCCACAAATCCAACTCCCAACCTCTCCCATTCGGCCAGCTTTCTTTTATTTATGCCGTTTTGAAGAAGATAGAAACACATCAAATTTGGTAACAAATTACATTTGATGCATGTAATAAAAATCTCGCACAGCTGCACAGATGAAACACGTTACAAAAATATAGCACAAAAATAGGCGTTCACACCGCATTTTGGCCTAATTAAGTTTTCAAGTGCAATAAAATGATGGACCCGGATCCGCAGCAGTTGCTCTATTGCGTGCGGGCATCAAATTTGCGCGAAAGTACATAAAAACACAAGTTAAAAACTTAAATGGATATGCGAGTCGTACTAGAGAAAGGAGAAGGGAGATGGTTCGCATTAGGCGTCCTCCTTGTTAGAACGTCCACGCCTTCGTTTTGGCTGTGACTCCCCCGCCTCATCTACGTGTCTTCTACGCTGATTTTTGCGAGTGGTTTCCTGTTGCTTTTCTGACGGCACCTTCTTCTGCTCCCGCGTCGTTTGCTGCCTCGGCTTCTTTTTCTGCTCCTGCTCCTGCTTTTGCTCCCGGTCCCGCTCCTGTTGGTCGTAATCCACCTCATCTTCCTCCACAGGCAATGCATCATCGCTGTTACTGTGTTCCTCATCAGCATCCAAATTGTTATCAGACACCTCAATCTGGCTGCTATGCGAATACGTGCGTTCAATAACAGCTCTCAAGTCACCCGATTGTATATTGAAATCCCGCACAGCACCAAAGTGCAAATAATTCGCCAGCCGATCATAGCTTTTGAACTTCTTTGACAACAATATAATATGCTTATTGAAATTCTCAATAGCTAATATAACTTTTGGTATCAATCGTGTCTCGCGCAGCACTTTAGCTCGCTCTGCTTGAGGTTTACGTTTTGTAGCTGTCTGGTTAGGTTGTTCATCCAGAATATTATACTCCACATATGATATAAGCTGATAAATATTAGCGGGCAGAGGTTTACCCACGTTGCGCACCAACTGCTCGAATCTGTAAGAAATTCGTAGTAATCAGTTAACTGATCATTTGAAAATTAAGACCTTGTACTCACTTGCTGCTTTTGCCAGAGCAGCTGCCCAGATAATGTCTGGCCAAATTTTTGAGGCATGTATAATGCTGTATTAGCAGCTTCATCAGCCCATCCATGTGATTTCCAAGGGGAATACACACATTTGTAATTTCCAGCAGCGTGCGTGTTATAAGTATTAGCTGCGCACAAACGGAGCCCTCTAATGTGTCCAGATTGCCGCGCCAATAGACGCGATCCGATTCAGGTACAATGTTGCACTTGTAGCTCAAGTTGTTCGCCTTGATAATAAAGTAGTCAACATCCTCCAGCTGCTTCTGCACCGCCGCATATAGATACTGCAAACAAGTGGCTGTTGTGCTCATATTGAGAGATTTCAGGCCCAAGTCCGATTGCTCTGTGACGTTATCATCGTTCTGCCAGCCAAGCACTTTCCCCAGTTGCCTTGCCACTGAGTCGAAAAATGGACCGGAATGCGTCTTTTGTCGCTGAGTAAAGAGAATGCGATGCACCAGGCCCATTTCTGGATTCTGCTGTTCGTACGTTTGACAAAAGTCTAGAAGCCAAGTGTAGGAATCTATTGTTGCGCGCTCTCCATAGTGTATATGATCATAAAACAGCTCCAGGGCTTCCAGCAAATAAACAGGCAGCTTCTCGCTATTGACATCATTACTGATATCCTCTTTCATATACCGGACTAGCACATCTTGCAGCACATAGGTTACTTCTTTGCTTTTATTAACAATTGCCATATCTGATCAAAGTTAAACAAATAAAATAAATTAAACAAATAACAAACACAATTGACACTCACCAAAACCTTTGATAAACTCTTTGAAGCGTCTGCCATATGTCTCGTGGGCAGTACGAGCGCATTGCGTAAAGCACTTGGCCGCTAGGACTGCGCTCTCCAGATCAAAGTCTTGCCAAAGCTCAGGTAGACGTTGAATACAGCGCTCATAGATGACTTTAGTAATGTCTGTCAACAACTTTAAGGTGCGCTTGCTGTAGGAGAGCTGCTTATAATCAGGCTCCTCGCGTATGCCCTGCACTTTCTTTGCTGTAATCTCTAGAACATAACGCACGAGCGGCTCATAGCTGCGCAAAGGAGCAGTGTTTGTTACACTTGCAAATGGTATATGATCGCTAAATGGGTAAGGTAGATAGAAATATAATAAATATTCAAAATGGTTATGTATATGATCACCCACTCATGCAGCACATGTAGCAACTTTTCAATGATAGCCAGATCCCAAATATTTTCCGGCTGTGTGCACATTTGCTTCAACTTGGCTGCATTCACGCTAAGATTAACTGTCACATTACTATCATTGGATTTCCCTTGCTTTTGTGCTTTCTTGGAAGTATCTGACAAGGCGCGCAGATCTTTAATCAGCTTTTGATGCTGTTTAAACAGGGGTAGCAACTGTCGCAATGCATTGTTGCCTGTCTTCGAGCTAAGCAGCGAGTGAGCAATCAAGCCCTCAATCAAATTCAGCTGTTGCTGAATGCGAGCGCATTTCAAAGGTGTAGCTGGCGGAGCCTTGGCAAAATTAAGATATTAATAAAAAGAAAAAGCAATAAACAATTACAGATGCTCACAATATCTTCCAAAGATAGCCTGTTGGCTACCAAACGTTGCGTGCAGAGCGTCAGTAGTCGTTGCATTTCACGCACATCGCAACCAAAAGGCCCGCGTTCAAAAATAGCCAAACAATGGGCAACAAACTGCACCAAACAGCCCAGATTATCCTTTAGCTCCAACTGATCATCTTTCACGGTCACTAGACGATCATAGTTTATAGAAAAGTCAGTATCCAGATCATCTGCGGACTGATCCACACTGGGCGTCTCGAAGAATCCACGAAAATGAAAGTCTACAAACTGCAGCACATGGGGCACCAGCTTGGCATTCAGTTCCACTGCACGCTGAAGATCTGAAAGAGCAAATCTGGCTAAATTGGATCGTCTTTGTATACCTGCGTATACTTACTCTCGTAGAGCGTGCATCGTATGCCCAATTGCTGTTCAAAGCAGCTGCGTAATATGCCAATGATCTCCATTGTGAGCATATCAAAATTACGCTGTGGATTGCTGCGATTGGCAAAGGAGCTCTGTGTCATCATTGAGTAGCCAGAAATACTATGTTGGGTGCAAAAGCTGCTGGCATTCTGCGATTGACGAGCCGAGTTGCTGTTGTTTAGCTGTTTGAGAATCATACAATAACCAAAGATGGCCATGCGACGTGTTCGATAGTCTCTGAAATAAGAAAACGAAATACATATATATAGAAAGAGTATATAAATACATAGTGGAGACTATACTTGTTCATGGCTTTACGTAGCACTTCAATCAGTGCATCTCGCACGCGATTTGAAAGCTTCAACAGAGGCAAAATAAAGTTCATCATGCGCATGGATTGCTCGCCGGGCAGCTAAAACAAAACAGAACCCTTATAAAATAATTAAGGTAAGAACAAATAGCTTGACTTACCCACAGAAAATCTTCCATTACGGTTGTAATTGTCTCTAGGCACTCGGAGACAGTGTACGTATCCGCAACGCTTAACATGGTTAAGCATTCTACAATGAGTAATAACATAGTATGAATATATATTAGTTAACAATTGTCTCTCGCACATAGTTGTCTAAGAGTTTACGGGCGCGCCTCTCACAATGTTGTTTAAGAGTTTACGACTCCCTCGAACTTTGTTGCTTATCGTAAACCAAAATATAACGCTTATGGTGCTGACAAAGCTTAAGCTCAGTTCAGCGCCCTGATCGCAAGGCTCAGCCTTGGTAACCTGATATCTGACACATGCCGCAAGATCGGCGCTATCACTAATATTGGGTAGGCTTGTAATTTTATATTCTGTTTGTTTATTGGCGGTGGTTCGGTTCTGTTCAAGTAGCCTAAGTCTTGTAATAAAAGGATTAATCCGGTGTAGTCCGTTAATAGATATAATTCATTGCTGAGGCACAAGGCCCGTACTTTATAAGTTACATAATAACTAAGAAGAGAGCCCGCTAAGGTTTGCCACAGGATAAGGCAAGGAATTCTATAATCATAGAAATCACAAAACATAATTTATATATATATAAAACTAAGTCACCTGAGAACTGATTCTGCTCCTGATCCACGACCATCCACTCGGCAATGCGCTTGATAATTCCTTGGCCAAACATGAATCGTCGTCTTATGAACTTGGTCAGAAACGTAATAGCCAACGTATTCAGCTTTGGGGCATTGTGTGCTTTAAGCAGAGTGAAAGCCAAGTTAACCAGCCCGGGTGTTACCCCATCCTTGCCATCTTTGTTTTGATCAATAAGCACAGTGAAAACCTGCAGCAGATCTACATGTTTGCGTTGTAGCGTATCACGGCACCAAACTGAATACTGAGCCAGCGTTTGCTCCTCCTCATTGTTTCGAATGACATTGCGAAGAAAAGGCAATAAAATACAGCTAGAGAATCGTGCAGATTCTGGATCACGATTAATAGCTGTCATGGAAATGATAGCACTGAGCATAAAGGGAGTTAAAATTACATCAGGCATGTGCAGAAAGTTCTAAAAAAGATCTGGAGTTAGTAAGTTGTATATATAATAGAATATGCAGATTACTCTTAGCATAATGGCTACTTGCTGTTCGCTAAGCAAGTACATGGTGCAATAGTTCAAATGATGTAGTATAGTTTCTTCCGACTCCCGCAGCTCCTTGTCAGAGTATGCATCTATAATAATTAAAAGCTTACTACAAACAAAACTAGAGACGTGTGCTATGCGCACCTATGCTATCAAAGTCTGTGGAATTGCTGCACATATCCGTGAACACTCGCTTATAATAGTTCTTATGAAAGTACTTTTCCAGTGATAAAAGAGGTATAATCAGCTGTGCAGCGCCTGTGCACATTGAGAAGAGTTGGTAGCACAATGCAGGTAGCTCCATGGGAGACAGTTCCTGCAGAGAACCTGCAAATTTATTTAGCACTGTCAAACGCTCACTAGGGCTCAGCTTTAGCATGCTGCAAAGCAAAATATTAGTTAACGGCATAAACTATAGAAGCAGGCGGGGGAATGTATGGAGACAGCTCACCTAAACATGTCTGCAATGGGCGTCAGAATAGTGATAGGCCAGCGCATGGTGCTCAAATTACGAACAGTGTTATCCCTGAACTCTATCCCCGTCATGGCGATGTCATTAATAACAAGACGTGGTTTGGCAGAGAGCACGAGCAATGTCTCTGGCAGTAAATCCTTCCAGGCTACGCACTTGGCGTCGCCCGCACGCATATCATCCATGCAGTGCTCCATAATCCAATTCAGTTGATCTGTTGTAAAGCTGCTTAAGTCTTGACAGAGTCGTGTTATTAAGTCCACGCTTAGCTTGTAGCCCATCTCAACACTGCGCAATCCATCTAAAAAGCAGCGCACACAGGCGAAACGTTTTTCCTGCGTGTCCAGGCTGTTGCCATCGCAAGCGAGTAACAAATAATTCCAGAAATTAATGAAATCCTTTTTGGGCAGTCTGGCATTCAGAATTGTAGTTAACTGTTGATTTAAATATCATTAATACAAGCAAAATTTGTGTTATTTTTAATAAAATTATAAATATTTAAGACGCCCTACTTACTTCCTTTACGGTAGTTTTTTTGATCAGCTCGCGCAGCTCCTCAAGTTGGTTTTTCTCCCCCAATTTACATAAGCGTATGTGCAAGGCGGCATTCATGTTACTTCTTCGGCTCTAATATTTTATTTATGTTAAATTAAAAACTGTTTTAAATTTAAATTAACAATTTCTATACAACATTTGGCGCTGTTTTGTGGATAGTGATGGGCGTTTCAATTTCACATTGTTGACTATTGATGCGCCAATATAATATCGATTAATTATAGTAGCGCATCGATAACCAATATCGTTTCGAGCACATATAGACTTGCCCTAATGTGTTAAAAATCTACCTGTTATTATTAATTATCGAGAGTGCATTATGGTCAAATGGCTTAACGGTGTAAGTAATGTGTTAAAGAAGTATACTACATGAAGTATATACATGAAGTTTTTTAATCATTTCATATAACATTTTCTAATATCAATTTATTTGAAGTTGTATTATTATATTTTACATTTTTAGCAGTTTCCTTTAAATATTATTTTTTGTGAATAAACGTTGAAATAAATAGTAATTTACATATTTATAATTAGTCGATGAACAGCTGTTATTTGCATATCTCAATGATGGAGATGATTGACATCCTACCAAAACTGGTAAGGAAATGTTATCGATGATATGTAGTTTTTTTTAAATTGTGCCGCGGGTGCATTATCCGGAACTTTAAATGGGTTTAAATAAACTTAAAAAATGGTATCTAATATGAAGTTTTTTTCTTCAAACTTAATAGTTTTTCACATTCAATGGAAACAAAAATTTGGTATTTTCTTTTAATATATTTTTGGATAAAAAGCTTATTTACATTATTTACAATAGTCAAAGTAAGATTTGCTATACTTAAAATAAAATTATGGCTAAGTCACACAAGTTTAGGTAGCTGCTTATAACAATATATATTGTTGAGCTAATTTATAGTGTTATATACATCTAGTCGGTAGTTTCCATCTTGAGCACAAACTTCTCCATTATGGCATTGAGACGCTTACGTTCCTTCAGCTGCTGTTGCATTAGATCTGAGATTTGCGTACCCATTGCCAAAAGAGCTTCTGTATTCGCTTCTGTACGCTGGGCATTTAATCGTGTTTGCCTGTTCAGCTCCCGCAGCTCCTTGGCTATATCCAAGAGCACTGTATTACCACTGAAGCCAGCTCCAGTTCCTGATCCATTGAGATTCTCATGTTCGTGTTTGCGTTTCTTGGCTGTGGAATGTTGTTGATGTAGCTGCTGCTCTACTTTGATTCCCAGGTCGCGCACGCTGATGGACTCGATAGATGCAGCGTCGTCATCATCCTCCTGCTCATCGTCTTCTAGAATTTATATTGAATATATACATATATATATATCCTAGCTAATCGTTGAAAGAAAAGAAATCCTCTTACCATTATCGGATGCCTCCTCATCCTGATCTGGTTTGATGTCATGCACGCGCAGCTTGGCCTTCGGCTGTGATTCAACTATTATGTCTGCCATTTCGTACAGATCTGTAATAGTCGCCACGGCATCCTCTAAAGGTGTGAGCGTGTCCTGGTAAAGAGAACTTTTCCCCGTACTATTTGGTTCCAGCCTGTTGTTCGCTATTTTCTTCCGAATGCAGCTCTTCCAATCCTTCCATACCTACAGATCATGCGTGTAAGTATTTGAGGTCAAGCTATGTGTGTTACCTAACGTACACGCTTCCATTCGCCGGCTTCTTTTACAGGTGGTCCCACGCTGTTTAACTCCTTGCTTAATCTCTGCCAAGCGGCTTCACTGGCCAATTTGTCGCCTTTGTAGTAATTTTTCGCTATTATGGGATGTCTTTCCATAAATGCAACGAATATAGCATCCTGCTGTGCTGTCCTGTGTTTGCCCCTGCAAATTTAAATATAATTTTTTTGATTTCTTTTAATAATTTGATATATTTTATTTACATTTTCCAATATTGATTTTCTTGTACTGTCAAATGGTCTCTAAAATTCTTGATACTGAATATATCGATATATTTTATAAGCGTGTGGAGCAGCTGCATAGTAGCCCTGGAAAATGTTAGCGGGTAATTTAAAAACGCATTAAATGAGCAGCTGCCTTTCTTTGTTTGGAATACTCGATAAATATTTTTATTAAGAACCAAACTAATCAATTTGAACTTATTGACGCTTTATTTTATATTTTCTATTTTATATTTTATTTTCATTTAATTTAATTTAGCATTTAAAGCCACACAATTATACTTACAAATTTAAATCATATAATATGAAGGTTATCCATAATATATGTATAGAGTATATGACACAGTCGTAGATTTTGTTAAGTATTTAAAATATGATTTCGTTTTGCACAACATTCGCGGCTTCGTGTATTATTCACCCCAATCCAAAAGTCCCATATCTTATCTATAATATTTGTAGAGAGTTAAGAACTGATAAGCACTTTGCGGAGATTACAACACACGTCGTTGCTGCACCCCATGTAGGTTAGGCACCTGTGCGTTCAAAAACTGAACAATCAGTACGAATAGTTTAACAGGTGGAATAAGGTAAAGCCGAAAAACACTTCTCCGGTTGTGGCATAAAACGATATATAAATAACAAGTGAACAAGTGGGAAGCCAATTTGTGATAGGTTATATATTGTGCAAAAGAACGATAACATAAATACATAACAAATAAACTTTATACTTAAGTTTAATAAGTGTGAAATTAACCAAAATCTACACGCAAGAAAAACGCCCCAGTGTAAAAAACTATTTTAAACTAATGTGCTTTAACAATTAAATTTTATCTTATCTCTTAAAAAAGTCGGAGCGGGGTGTAGTGTAAAAGTACATAGTTATATACAAATGTGTGCTTGCACCAACAACTATCTGGGACTTGTGCAATAGGCATTTCCGTTACAAGGCCCAAAGTTTTGGTATTCCAGCTGACTCACGCGCTTGTAACGATACTCGTGGCTTTATATGCATAGTTGAACAAGAGTTTTTGCCATAAAACCAACTAACTAACGGTGCCAATCTATGGGCATTACGAATAAATTCTTTCTGTGCAACTGATAATAAATTGATAACTGATATTGTGTGTGCCTATGTATATAAACGTATCAAGGCAATTTGACTCATGCCCTTATAGTCTTTTATAATATAAATTTTATATTTGAGTTGATAAAAAGTATATGAGTGTGTGTCAGACATGACATCAGCTTCCTTCTATATAGGAGGACTATTTTTATATAAATATATATATATATATTGGAGTTTATATGACACTTGTTTAACATTAAGCCAAGCTAACAAAGCATAATAAAATTCCGAGACAGGAAGTGACGCATAAGTGAAAGATATCTAATTGCGCTCTTTTGCCGATTAGGAATAATGCCTCACCATAGATTAATAACTGGATTTCATAACTATGTTATCTTTAGCTAAACTCATTTTCAATATTTCGTTTCTAGCTTCGAGCTAGACTAGTTCTATTCCCTCCCTTTTCCTTTCAATTAATCGTATCTAGATACTACCGCAATTTCCCTAATTATCTTAGTTTTTACTCAAGTTTCAAGCCTTTTCTTTTCTCGATAGTCAACTTAAATCGTATATCCTGAATCTTTGAGATAACAAGCAAATGCTTGTCCTTATTCTTCGACAGTAATGATTTTATGCATCTAGAACAGTTTAGAAATCAGATTGCAGCTTTATAAGTGAAGCAAAAAACCTCCAATATGTTTGAGTCTATTCTATATAATGCCTTATGGTTTACGTGTCGGTGCTTATAGTTTTGGTGTAAATTAACTAATTTACGATATAGTTACCAAAAGAGGTGAACCTTTTTCCCTCCAATTTTGATGTATGTCTGCAGAAAATCAAATATTTCTGTCTCAATATTTTCTGGGCTCTCATCTACACTCAGATAGTTCCACCCTGGCCTGACACAGAATGCGGCATGTCACAAAGTGACACTAATGAATTTACTTAGTTAAAAAAATAATGATCGGATCTGATCAATATTCTTGCACCTGCACCTGAACGTCGCTCCAACTAAGACAACTGAAAACCCGAAAACCAGTTGACTGTATAAATGTTTGCATTGCGATAAGGATAACAAAGTTTACACATGCGCGTAAATCAAACACGAGTAATTGTTGGCTGGGACTGGGGCTGGGGCTGGTACTAGTGATAACGCCCAGCCTGTACGCAGTGGATACAATGGCCGAAAGCTCTTATCTGTGCAGCGTTAGTGAGCAGGCAGGCATAAGCCATTTGGACGCTGACTCAACATGGCTTGAGGCATTTATTTCGTGTTATATTTTGGGCCAGGGCCAGTTCGATAACTGCCTTGACGTTTTGTAACTAAACTTGGACAGCAGCTGAAGAAAGGCTGGGGGTAAACTACACTAACCTGCCCGAAGGTGTTCTAATAATTTGATTTACACTCGAAGCGACACTATTTCGAATAGTAGATAGATATCGTTTGACGTAGACAGTAAGAGAGATTGTATGATTTATACTCTTTACTTCAAGCTTTTATCATATTTTTCTTTAATGAGGATAAACAACACCTACTTGAATGTATTATAATTGACTGTTTTACATTCCCATACTTTTAGCCGCCTTTCAACGAACCCAATTGATAAACGAAACTAAGGAGGAGCCACGGCATGCGACTTGCACAATTCAAGGCAGCCGCTGTCTGCCTTTGCCTGGGCCTCATCATGGCGATTGGCTCAGTGCAGGCACAGGAGAATGCTCAACTACAGATCCCACCCTCACTGATCGAATGCTACAATACGTCGTATTTTATGAATCGGGACAATCGCCTGCCCTCCAACATGGACACTTTGATCTCGCTCATTGAAAAGGTCGAGCAGAGCTATGTGGCAACGGGTTACCAGGTGGACATTCGTACCGTAGCTGTTGCTTTGCTGCATCGTTTTCGACAGGATGGCATCAGACGTGCGCCTGGTGTTACTGCCGTCAGTGGAGTAATTCCCTACAGTCCGACGGGCTTTCAGTTTCCAAAGCTGCGAATTTTGTTGTCCAGCCTGTTGCCCGGCAACGCAAATAACTTTCCAAACAGCTCGCTGACCAGCACGGAGCGCTGTTCCCTGCATTTCATGCTCTCCAGCACCTTTGATACGAGGCAACGCGGCGACGAGAACACCGTGTGCGGACAGCTATCTCAGTATCGCGCTCAGCGTTTGCCGCGAGCTCTTAAAAAAGATGCTGGCAGCAATTTTCTGGGAGATGCCGAATGGCTAGAGAGCAAGCCAAAACGTGCGCGTTCTGGCTCCAACTATGTACAGATGGGTGAGCTAGACTACGAAACAGATTGGGCCTATGCCGGCACCGAGGGTCAAAGCCAGTGTCCAGTGGAAGATGGAGTTGTGCGCACGCCCTGGGGCACCGTCTCTGCAGGCAGTCTAATCGCAGGTGTCGCAACCGGACTGCAACAGCAAAACGTGCCGGTGAATACTCTGCTGCAGCTGGCCGCCAGACGTGGTCGCACTCAATCCCAAACTGGTACCTCCTATGTGGACAATCGCTGGGCAGCGACGCTTGCGGGTGATTTGGCTGAGGTGACGCTCGTTCAGGTTCCCGTTTCCCAAAACAATGCAGCTACAGTGGGAGCCACAGGGGGTTGGAATGATACAGTGCTGCCACACTGGTATTTCTTGTCGCAGCGCAACAATTTGGAGGCAACTGATGCGGAGATTCGCGGCGGTCTCGATGGCCTGATCTTAGCCAAGAACGTAAATACTTGGCGCACTCAGGCATCGAGCTTGAAGCTTTCGCAGCTACTGCGCATGTACTATTCCTCGAATGGCGTGTTGAGCTCTGGCATTCAGGCCTGCAGTCGCCAGCAGCAATTCCCTAATGTGGCGCCCACAACCGAGATGCAGGCACAGACTAGCGCCTTTGCTCAGGTGCTAGATAAGGGAATGCAACTGCGTGTAACCATTCAGCCTCCAGCGATTGCGGAATTCGCTCAAACAGCGGCCCTCTCGCTGGTCACCTATGTGCGTAAGTACCTATTACTTTTCTTTCCATATGTCGTAGAACCACTTGGGAAAATACTAGACTGCTTTAGGATCGCTTCCTAATTCATCTGTTGCCGATCTATGCTTCAGCTTGTCTTTAATTAGTATTCAACTGTTCCCGAATTATAGTTAGTTATATTAGTTATATTTTAACTCATTCTTCATATGTTCTCTAGTTTCTCTTGAGTTATCAGCTGCTGTGAAATGTATTCAGCTGCTTAGATATTGTCCCCCTTTTTCATTTTCTATCCGATTCTCGCAGTACCTGCAACATCTTTTATATTTTAAATTATCCACAAACAGCACAATCTTTGAACGATGTATCCTGCACGGCCACCAACAGTCAGGATCTGTCGGACATTATCACACCCATGACCAATTTGTTCATATTCTTGGACACTACCTGGCAGTACAGTGCCATTGCGGATTACGTAGCGTAAGCATCTCGGCTAACTCCTGCCACATCAAGTTCTCATTTTTATCTTCTTCCCTAGCTACGTGCTGCAGCAGATGAACATTCATCCCTATGCTAGTTCTGTGACCTTGCTCTCCGCATTTGATGGTTCGATCATAGTGAATACCACGAACTATGTGACTGATGTTTACCAACAGTGGAATGCCACTATACAGTCGAATTGTGAGTACAGTTCACTTAATTCCAAGAACAAAACTTAACTGAGGAATATTCCAATTACAGTGCAACAAGGCTTTAATCTGCCAAATGTTCTGCGCACGATTCAGAACCTAACACAAACGCTTTTGAATGGGGAGCAGACCAATTCGAGCGTGGGAGGTCGTTCCTTGGTGGCTCTGGTAATGCCGAATCAAGCGAATGTGAACGATGGCGATTCGAACTATGCGACAACAGAGCTGCAGTACATTTACGAGCAGATACCCGATCTGCGTTTTGTCTACTATGGTGGTGGCAATATTCAACGCTTCTCCAACTTTGTGCGAGACCCGACGAAGGATCTGTTCTCTCTGATGACTGGCAGCACCGTGCCCACATCGGCTGGACCCGTGGCCAGACGTATAGTGAAGAGTAAGTCCTCAGCGCTGAAGCTCCCTTTCTATCGGATGCTAATATGAGTGATATACTCTTTTGCAGTACCTCGTCGCATCATCAACCCGCGCTGCGGCTCAATGTGGTATACCACCACCTGGGGCACTGATCAGATGTACCAATATGTCAGTCCCGGTAAAGTTAACTTTTACCGCGTTTCACCCAATTATTTCTTTGGCGCTGGCACCAACCGTGTGGTGACCATTCAGTCTCAGAATGGAGGCGCTTTTACGGTCTGCTCGTCGCGCAGCTACGAATGGCCGCAGCAAAACTCCACCAACTCCAACAGCAACGGTGTGGTACAGAACTGTGTGCAGATCAGTGGCAACAGCTATTCGTATGATTTGTCCAACGCCTGCAATGGCTACTACACAATCACACAGTGTCCACCTCTCTATTTGTCTGTCCAACCGGGCTCAGTGAACACTACGTCCTGTACACAGGATGCCTGCCAGACGCCTGACCAATGGCGCTATATCGTCGCCTCGGTCAACATGGGCTGCTACAGCGGCGTCTCCGGCCTGGCCGCGAGTCTTTTGACCATTTTGTTGGCGCTGCTGTTGCAGCGTTCGCTGCAGTAGTGGGCGCTTACTCTTGCCCAATTTACAAGTTCAAATTACAACACAACACATCTGTATGTATGGCCCCCCATAACCCTCCCTTATTATTATAATTTTTTTATTTAAGTTTTAAGTTCCAGTGAAAAAGTCGCAAATAAAGTCCACCCACTAGAACCAACCAGAATGTTTTTATTTCCGTTTAGACGTTTTCCCAGTGGTTCTATATTGATTGATTATCTTATCTAAATTACATTTTCATATATCGCATTCATTTATATATATTATTATTTATAGCCATCATGGACAGCTTTCAGTTCGAACGGTCGTCCGATATATCCAATATGACCACGATAAAGACAAATGTCTTTGTGTTTGTGGATACCAATTGGCCGTACAATTGGATAGTCGACTATGTGGCGTAAGTAACACTTTGCATACATCTGATTGATTGACTGACTTACTCGAAATCATGAGATCTGGGGATTAAGTATAGTAACTACTGACTGACTGATTGAAAACAAACTGAATTATGTGATTGACTGTTGGATTAATGATTTTCGACAAGTTTTATAGATTTTTTGATGATTGATTTTGAGGAATTGAAGGACTATCTGAATAATGATCGAATTGTCAAAAACTCGCAAGATATATGAATTGAAACTATACAAGCTAGTTGGATGATCAATTAATTAATATATTCTGTAGCTGACTGACTGATTGACTGACTGACTGACTGCTTGATAATCTATGGGCAGTTAAGAATGTGGAATCTTGAAAGCTGATTTCTGTGCATTTACCAATTAGTGGTTTTGTAAGTGATTGATTAAGAAACTGACGTTATCTGATTGACATTTTGAGATGATAATCCCACATTTCTAGATGGAATTTTTTGCCATTCAGCTATGAAGGCTTTTAAAGAACTGCTTCCCAAAGGACGAAGTAACATGATATTATATATATTATTTTATAATATGAAGTTGGCGAAGCTTCCTCTTCTTAAGCAATTAAAAATCAATAACTTCCTCTCCTCAGTTACGTTTTGCAGAACCTCAACATACATCCTTATGCAAGCACTGTAACACTTTTTGCCGCCTCAGATGCTTCAGTTATAGTGAATACAACCGACTATATAGTAGACGTGTACCAGCAATGGAATTTTACCACGCACTATTGGCGTAAGCATTGCCAGAACCAATATATACCAGAGCCCATCTCTGTAGCTCAGTCTTATAATTATGCATAGATCCACCTGGCTTTAATCTTCCCCTTATACTGAACACACTAAGCACTCGGGTAGAGGACTTGCTGGCTGTAGAACGAGACACTGATTATCTGGGCGGACGATCATTGGTCGCACTGCTTGTGCCTAGTCCGACATCATTTGTGGATGAGAACGACTACGACTACTGTGTGCACTATATGAAGCGTCTGCGTTATAGCTTGCCACATGTGGAGTTCATCTATTATGGAGGAGGTGCTTTGGTCAGGTTTCACGACTTTGTGCGTCAGCCCAAGAGAGATTTGCTTCTGCTGAACATTAATAAGCCGCCGGAGGAATGTGGAACGCCAGTCATTCAGCGTATTCGACAGGGTGAGTGTCCTTCTTTGAGTTCATATGAACCTTTTCTAATTAACTTGTGAATCAGTTCCACGTCGCATCTGGAATCCGCGATGCTCTTCGAATGGAGCCATTAGCCAGTATGGCCTTAACTCTTTGGAGCAATACGGACGTTTGAATACCATCAATTTTTACCGTCTGGATGCTCTCTACATGCCCAACAGGCAGAGCATGCGATATCTTAAGATCGCACCCATTAGTAAAATTACTTTCACCGTCTGTTTCTCGCGCAGCATTGAGTTGCCCTTCCGCAATGCAAGCCATCCGCTGCGCCAGGACGAGAGCTGTGAGAGCACGGCATTGGGTCCATTTAGCTACGACTTGACGGACGCCTGTGTGGGCTACGACTATGAACCTTGTCCGCCGCTGTTCTTCTCAGTGCAGGCGCAGGGCTTTGGAGATATTTCGTGTAACCAAGCCGCGTGTCAAACACCGGATGAAGCGCAATACGTTATCAGTCTGAATAATCTCGGCTGCAATGGTGCTTTGTCTATGCAGTTGACAGCAGGTCTACTATTGACTGCTCTCTGTAGTATTTTAATATTCTAGTACAAATATTTAGGGATAAAATAAGCAAAAGCTGCATATTCAATTAAATAATTATTTAATAGCGATGCGGTACATACATTTTTAATTTAAAAGTTTGCGCCACAATATTCAGGGCTACCATAGATAACATAACGACGGTTCATAACTTCGATATCACAAATAGTTCTTGGTTAAGAATAAATAAAAAATTACCTCTAAGAGACACTGAGGGAATTCCCTTTTGGTGAACTTTTTGCCAAATGTACCTCTAGGGATATTTACGCATTATACGCCAGGGCTGAAGTATAAATTAGCGCAGACTATGTGAAGTGTCCATGCTAAATGTCCTCAAAGAAATTCCCTTGAAACCTTGTTATCTTGTTGAATTAAGTTTGTGTACGAGTTCTAAATATTGCTCTAAGAAGACCAGGGCCAGCCAAACATGTTTTAGGTGTCCATGTTAACAGCTCAATAAAATTGTCTTGAAAATGTCTAATTAGAAATTTCCTTTGCCGTGGCAGCTGCGGCTGTATAAATACTTTTTAGTCTAGGCAATTTTAGATGTTCATGTTAAGACAATAATTGTGTTCTTGTAATATTTGTAAATTCGCTCAAGCAGCTGCTGCTGCTGTGAGATCAACAGAAAATTAAATGTTGTGGCACAATTCACTTAAAATGATTTTTCAATTCAAGGCGACGATCAGCAAGTAAAGTTAAGGCAGGAAATAGTTACATTACCCACTCAAATCTGAATTAAGTTTCCGCTAAAGTAATTTGAATGTATTTCAATTGTATATTTTTGGAGCTTACCTGCCTCAACGAACGCAGCGCCATCTTTACGACAACTAAAAATTACAGCGCCACCTAGGCGAAAGTATCGAAAACAGAATAAAAGCGCCATCTACTGAACACTGCTTGATTACACATATAAAAGCGAGTAGTATTATTTAGTTTTGATACCCGTCGTCAATAGGTGGTGCATTGTGTTATTGTCAAATAAAACGGTTGTAGCTATATCGCCATCTATGAGTGCAGAGCCCGCTATATTTTATACTTATGTTATCTAACATTTGAATGAAAAATGTTATAGACGATTATGTTACTGTTACAACTTCATTAAATTACAGCAACTTAAATGAGCTGTGTAATTGTGTTAAATTAATTTATGATAAATATTTAAAGTTGTTGCTTAATAAATAGAGGGAATTAAGAAGACTCAATTTGTCGCCTTTGCGTTAATTCGATTAAGCATGTGGAATGGGAAGAGGCAAAATGTTTTAACATTTCCCTTGCAGTCGTACAGAAGGTGTGGGGGAGCTGTCGAGGCAGCCACAGCACAAACCGCGAATCATCACGCTCCAGCCGCATGTTTGCTTAACGTCTTGTCAACAGAAGTGTTCGCTCTTCTGTCTGCCTTGATTTCGCAATCCCATTTCGTTTTCTTTTTGCTTCACACTTTATGCATGAATTAATATTTAATGCAAAAGGTGGCAGCACAATAAAAACGCGCAGGCGATAGGGATAGATAGTCTCTAGAACGTAATGTCTCAACTCACTTCAATTTAGCAAATGTCAAAATATGCCAAAGCACCAAAAAGCCAAAGCGGCAAGCAAAGCGCCAAGTCGAAGCGTCCTCCAGAAGTTGCTTTTCGCTCTTCCTCTTCCCTGCCCTCTCTTCCCACTCTTGATCTGTCGCTTGCAACATTTTGTTTTTTAATAATCTAAAAATCTTTTGAATACTACTCCTAACACCCTAAACACACGCGAGTTGATGCCCAACAAAATTCATCAACTTTTCTTTTTCACATTTCACATTTCAAATTCCACAATTCACGTTCGAATCGGCTGACAACCCCCGAGAAGTAGGCAACGTATTTCCCGCTGCTCTTATTTGCCTTATACTCGTTCGCGAACTGAGGCAGAGCATATGCGTGCCTGAAATGTCAAATTTCTATATACAATTTAAGCCCTAAGCTGCATTTCTGTTGAGCAACATCTCTGCGGAGCGAGTCAGCTTCTTATACAGCTCCAACCACAAAACGAGGTACGCCAATGGCGAGAAGCGCCTTCACTTTATTTTCCAATTCAAATATCTTTTCGAAAGTAGGCAGCTGAACGAGCATTAGGAAGTGAGAATGTACAATGTACAATGTACTTTCGCGTTCAGATTTGCTCTTCATTTTTCATTTGTTCTTCGGCATCAAACCAAATTTAGGCAGAAACTCTCAAGACGTCTGGGCTACATGTAACATGTATTCAGATATCAATCGGCTAAATTTCTTACATTAAATGTGACTAATTCTGCTTACTGCTGACTACAGATAAGAATTTGAATTCCTAATCAAGCTCAGGCATCATGATATTAGGACTTCCAGTGAAACGTGTTCCCATTGTGCTCATCATAATTCCCCTTCTTCTACTGTTGCTTCCCCAATTCAAATACCCGATCACAAACAGATTTTAACTTTTGGTATCATTGACTGTAAATGTTTATTATTCAACCATCGACACAGCGAAAACCAATCTCTACAGTTGGCTAAGCTGTTTAAGGGGTCCCTTCTCCAAGTTGCAACTTGATGAAAATGTATTGCCTCAAAAGTAGTTGACAGCGGCTAAAAACAGTTTGACTCTTCATTCTTCATTGTCTTTCGCACATCCCAAGCTTGCTCAATGACAACAAGGCAATCTCTCTGCGCTGCGTCAGACACGCTTTTATTCATTATCCGGTGCTGCCTTAGGCCCAGTGCAGAATTGTTTCCCTGGGCGGCGTTTTATAAGTGAGCGCACCGAAGGGATGTAGCCATTGGTAAAAGACTGCCATCTCAAACAAAATGAATGTGGTGGTCATGGCGATCAAATAGTGGAAGAGCGACATGCGAAACTCATTTGAACTCATCGAAACGTGGAGCAAGGTGCCACAAAGGATGACCAAAAAGAATACATAACAACTCTCCAATTTGGCGGTGAATACGAACTGTAAAATACGAGAATCAAGAGAAACTAGAGACAGAGTAGAAAGAGAGAGTGGATACAAAGAGAGTGCAGAGAGACAGTGTAGTGGGAGAGTGAGTGAGTGGTGAGAGAGAGAGAGAGAGAGAGAGAGCGTGTGGGGAAAAGAAGACAGAGAGAAAGAGAGAGAAAGAGAGAGAAAAGAAGAGAAGAAATAATAGAGGAGAAAGAGGAAAGAGGAGAGAGAAGAGAGAAGAGAGAAGAGAAGAGAAGAGAGAAGAGAAGAGAAGAGAAGAGAAGAGAAGAGAAGAGGAGAGTTAGAGAGAACAGAGAAGATAGAGGGGTGGACCAGAGAAGAGAGAGGAGAAAGCAGTGAAGGCTCAACTCACGTAGTTCTTGGCAGAATAGCACTCATGAAGGACGAGCAGAGGTAGAGTCATGTATATGTTATGGGTTACCACGCTCATGACTGCGCCGTATGCTGCATCCAGCCTATTAGTTTGGATCAGATTGTAAAGCAATACGATCAGCCAAGCGCTATCGCCCGTGCTGAAGAACAATATGCCAATCGTCTCACTTATGTTCTCAAAGCGCATGGTCATGTACTGCCAGGTCATGTTGTTGAGCTCGTCTGTGATGTGAAACAAGATTACATTGGTAATGATTGTGCCAACTAAAGCATAGATGCAGAGTAGTGGACGGCCCGGCTGCCGCAGAGGGTGGAACGCGATTAGCACCATCAATGCAAACAACCAGCTGAAGCACAACACTAAGAGAAACGCCACGAATTCTCTCCCAGTTCTGAGAATTAAGAATGGAATTATAATAAAGCTCAAAATATTGACACTCTTGCACCAGCCATAGATCGGACGTCGCTTGTCTATCACGGGTATTACGTTGGCCAACACGAAGTAGGCAGGAATCTGTTGAAATAGATAAGTAAATCAGCCAAGTCAAGTGTCCGCGCTGCTTCGCCTTACTTACGAAAAGGAATTTTAAGATCTTATTGCGCCCCTTCATATTCGCATTGCCGTTCACAGTGCTCCACCAGATCTTATAGCAGCTGAGATCATCGCGTATGGGAGTTCGGTTCATATCCGTATCGCTGAACACCCGTGGCAATTCTTCATCCACACTCACTGCATCAGCAACTGCTTGACGCGGTTGCTTGATGTGGCTGTGATACGATAAGAGGAGAGTCAAGACAAGCACAATCACAAGCACGAATATAAATGTATACGCATTGAAGGTCAATAAAGGAGCATTGCTATAGAGTAGATCGGGTGCACCGACAGTTCTATACTTAAGGCCCACCACAAAATTCAAATAGAAAATGCCAATGAAGATAATAAACATATTGATCCACCAGAGAGTGCCATTCACATGGTACCCATTGATGCAGAGCATCATGACCCCTAAGACAAAGAAACGCAGATTATCGCCCAAGAATTTGCTCAAGGTAAATGTGCCCTCGGAATTTTTGATATATGAGCAGTTGAGCATAAACTGGATGTAATCGGGTATCATTAAGTACATTCCAAAGAACACATAGCCGTATGTGTACTGAGATATCGGGACCAACTCCATCAAGGTCACATAATTCGGCAGGCCACTAATAATGAAACATACATAAAACATATATACGGAAGGATAAGGATAGATCGAAAGATGTATAATCACTTCAATAATAATAATCAATAGGCATACTCACAAGTACTTTGTAATCATGAAGATAATGAAAAGTAGGGCCATATAAATTAAGCTCAGTATAAAGATAATACTACTATTCCAGGGCAAATGAAAAGTGCAGAAATACAGTTCCAGCAAGTTGACGGTTTCCACATAGTAGGAGCAGCTCGACTTGCTCTTAACAAATTCACACATCTCACTGCTGCTGGTTAACATTGCATCGCGACGAAAGCAATCCGTCTGAGTACGATTAAGCAGACAATATTCAGGATTATATTCAATTATTTCCATGTCTTCAAATACAAAAGAAACTCACGTCGTTCCCCACGTGCACAAAGCTTACAAGGCGTCTAACTCGACTCAGCGTTTCATTTGCATTTACAGGGTATTCACTGAGCCCCGAGTCAAGCATTGCATAATTCAATTTGATTTGGATGTGTTCAATGAATATTTGTAATGTGTGTGTACGTGTGACTGACTGGGAATTCAAATAGTTCCTACTAAGAATATTTTTGAAGAGATCTACCAGAAAATCGTTCTAGATTTAACTGATAACTGATGGCACTCTTCGACGAATACTATTATATAGAAATGGGAGAAATAATAAGAGTTGTTTGCTGTAAAAATTAAGATGCCAATTCGCAATCTTCTTGAACTTTTCAAAGGAAATACATTTTAACTGCATTTTATTTATTTATTAAGGGTATGATATTTCGTTCTCTACCTGGATGTCTTCTCAGATCTTAATTTTTTGAGCTTTCGTTTCCTTCACCTCTTCAAAGTTCTGCAAAGTTCCACTCTCACAACATTTGTCATTCAATTTGTCTGCTATTTTCATCTCTCTTTTCTTTTTATGATTCAATTGAAGTCTTTCTCTGAATACGAAGACTTATTTAAGAATTTGGTTCTCCATCTCTCTTTTTCCTTCTTCCTCACTTCACTTCACTCACATATCTGTCTCCCCTCTGTTGCATATTTCCGTCTCTTCTCCGAGTTCATCAAATTTGTTTCCTTCAACTCTTCGCTGTGATTTATTGTAAGCTCTTTAAGTCGGACTCGCAGCATCTCTCATCCAACCTTTAACTAGTTGTATTAAAGCTCACATTTCGTATTTGTCTACTCCGCTCAGGCTTGTTCCGTCCTTACGCTTTTCTGGCTGCCCAAACAGCAGCCGCAAACAACAAATTTACAGTTTACGTGCCCTTAATTAGCAACGAGCATGAAAAAGGATTCGAAACACAGCGAGTAAAAATAAGCGAAATCTAAAGCTCGCTAAATAAATGTGCGCTGGAATAGAAAGCGCGCAAAACTGAAACTAAAAAAATAATATAAAAATGGTTCAAGAAACAAAGCTAAAGTAGAATGCAAAATAAAAAGTTTTTATTTTAATTTTATTTTCATTCTTATATCAAATTGAGTTTTTTTCACAGATTTTTGTGCGCCGCTCAAGTATCAGTGCATTTTTTAAGCATTTCTATACCTATTAAAACTGGCGAGGAGAGGGCATATTGTTCTTCTGTAATTTGTTAAGGGAAAGTTAAATCTGAATGAGCTCACTAGGCTGTTCCTTGCATGCAATGAAAGCGCGTGACACGGCTGTCTACAGGGTATATGCCAGTCACACAGCTGTTGGCCAAGACAAGTTTTTGCTGCTGACTATTTTTTGTTGGTAAACAACAGTTTCTATAACGTTTGCGTTTCGCTGATTTCTCTATAAGCTCGGCCCAAACGATGCTTAACATCTTTGTTTTTGCCAGCTCGTCGGCTTTGCGGCTTTTAGGGCTGATCAGAGGAGTGAAGAGGGGCATGGCGAAAGATCCCTTCGTGCGTTTCTATATTTATCAGCAGCTATTCTCAAACCGGTTGGCCATTGTCCACTTAAGCCATTGCTGAAAACATGTGTCACACACAGCATAACAATCGGCGTACAGTGGCTGACCACCAACCGCGGTGTCGGGCAATCAAATGACCATTTGAATGCCTTTATCCTTCGTCCTGCATCCTGTTTGTGATTATTTAAAGCCCATTAGGGCTGCTCGATCAATTTGTAAATGAGCCTTGTCCAATTTAACGCAACATTAAAACTGACCTTAGGTCATTTGCGACTCTGTTTCTCGTGTCAGCGAACCGGTTTTCTTAACCCTAGAGGGAACACTCATATATGTGTGTATGTGTACATAATAATATACATAAATGTATCCTCGCTCGCTCCTCAAGTGCTGCAATGCAACCACCAAGCAGGACACGCGCCTGCACTCAGCCACTGGCATTTGTCCCTTGCCCCTGGACAGGGGTCAGCGTATTTGTTGCCAATTGGTTGCATGACATTTTCATTTACTTCGTGTTTCCATTTGTCTACGATTGTGGCCTGCCCTTTCCATTGTCCTCGCAGGAGGGGCAAATGCAGCGCTTGGCGTGTGCAGCACCCGAGGGAATATGAGTTGTATTTTGTTGTTGTGTTCAGGGTGCTGACTGAATGCATTTGGACGAAAGAGGGAGAGAGAGAGAGAGAGAGAGAGAGCAACTGCCAGAGGAACTCGTGGTTAAAAGCCTCATTTAAATGCTTGAATATATATAAAGAAATGGGTAATAAATTAAGCAGATTTCGGTAAATAATTTAATTAACATCAATTAAGAGCTAAGCAATTGACAGATGAGAATTAAATTAAATTGTATTAAACAAAATGATGAATAGAGAGAAAATATTTATATATGTATATATATACAGAATAAGAGACATATAACATAAATATTTTATATAATAAAAATATGTTAGATATAAGATAATGGTTTTTGCAATGTCCGCCTTGCTGTCTTTCCGTATATCTACGTAAATGGCACGGAATAACTATTCGCGAAAACCCTTCACCAGATACATATGTCGATAAAAAGCGTATCTTGGCCAGTTTATCATTTAAAATGACTAAATTGATTGTTTTCTGTCTTCTGTATTGATTGATTTCATACAAACTCATTTGACTTTTTTACTTGTATCTTGAGGCGTATCGAATAATATATCATTAAATGTAGCTGAATTTGGAGCGTTGAGTATATTTCATTTGATTGCACAGGACTGCAATTGATTTAATAGGGACATTTTTTATACATTTGATTATCTCAAAGGCAGTTTTAGTAAATTTATTTAAATATAATAAATAAATACATATTTTTTTCAATATAAAAACAAAACTTAACTTAGTTTTTATAATAGCATATGACATCGATCAGTCGTTCGTTTGGGCTGTCGTTTCTGTTGTCATAGGATGGTTCGTCCTTAAACTGTTCTAATTATGAACACATACCTATTCTAGAGTGCATTACTTATTTTAAAATGCCTAATATATCTGTCGGTCTACATTTGAAGGCTTAACACAGCAGTTTCTTACAGCTGTCACACAGGAGGTCTTTACTCCAAAAGGCAGTTTATGGGCTTCACTTAATCGTCGGTTGGAAAGTCTTGCGGCTAAATTACAAGCACTTACTTAAGCAACCAACTTTCTGCATGTGTGAGGGTAAGGCGAGAGCATATGGAGAAGTTCGCATTGTATCTGCAAGATGTGCTCTGTGGCAGACGCGTTAACAACATTGCTTTTAATATCCGTGCAGCGCACTGCTCTCATGCCTCGCGTCTGGAGTTTACACAATTTCTTTTTTATTTTGTTGGCCAAAAGATTTTTCAGATAAGAATGCCCCACCTGCTACGCTGCGCTTGCTGCTCGTAAAGGCGCAGCGCCCAAAAGTATGCAATGCCTTTTTAATCGAGCGCAACGTTTATTGCCACATTACGTATACGTAACACGAGCTTTAGTTGAATGGAAAAGTTTAACTTGCAGCGTATGTTTACATAACTTGTCTTTCGCTGTCTCTCTCTCGTTCTCTCTCCCTGTCTTGGGACAGCTGCAAAAATTGCTCAGAGTTATTTTCCTTGAGATTAACTTATTTCCGTGTGCAAATTTTGAAGCTGAGCAGCTTTTCTGTGCTGATGGAAAGTATACTTATCGATGCTTAAACGGGGATTATATAGTTAGTGAAGGGAATTAATATTTGAGCGACTTCTTACCAACATTTCTAATAGCCAAATATTGGCTAGCTAATATTTTATTATATTTCTTTTATATTTTTTTAACTATTTCGATCTGATGGGGAGACTCAGACGTATTTTTAGTACAGGTCTTTTGAGTTATATTTCTTATATTTAAATGCTCACAATTTGGTCGTCTTTGCTTCCGTGTTTTCTTTTTACAGAAGTGACTGTGTATCATGTTACCCGACTGCCCACTTGACTGTCAGGCTTTAAACAAACAAACTTAATCAAATCTGAGCTGAGAGGCAACCGCAGCCCAACTCAACTTGGAGTCGACTCCAGCTCAATCTTCGTCTGACTGTCTGACAAATGTCGCCTGGAGATATAAGATTTGAATTCGTGCTTGCATCTTGGTAGCCAAAATCCAACATCTTGCTGCACATGCTCCACTAGGCAAGCGGGTGACCACAAACCTTGCCCCAACTTTGTCCCTCGCTTGCTCTCTCTCTTTCTCTCAATCTGTGGCAAGTTATGCGTGGCATGCAGTCAAAAATAGCGTCTAAGAAAATATTATTGCTGACTGTGCGTCGAGTGGATGAAATGCTCAAATAATATGCTGGACAAGCATTGTGGGCTGAGCCGCATATCAGTTGCCTGACAGCGCCTGCCAGGACACGTCCAGGACATGCCAGGATATGTGGGGCCATGACCGCAAATCAAACTCGTTGCAAAAGTTTTTGGGACTTGGGAGTGCCATGCGTTGGCAACATGTGATAAGTTTATTGTCTTGCCACATGACGCACACACTCACACCCGCAGCAAAGACTCTCAGCTACAAAAAGGACCCACTACGAAAGTATCGCATTTCATAACAGAAATATGCTTTCTTGGTCTATAAATTAAGTTGTCTCGCCCACAAATATTAATTGCCTAATTAGCATATGCGTCTGACATGGACACAGGACACAGCACAACACACAGGACGTACGACACACAGCACCCTTTTATCCCCAACAATAAGAAGAACACATAAGAACCAGTTAACAATAGCCACTGTGGAAGTTTTTCTTCAAGGCACATCATGCCGAATATCCTTTGGGCTCACATGTTGTCAAAGGACACGTGACTCTGTTTGGCTTGTGAAAACACCTAGAACTGCAGAAATACACAGAAATTAACGTATCATTCATACATTCAGCTGGAAATGGATTGAATTTTAGAGCTCGGGTTTGTTTCGCAGAGTAAACGTGATTGCAGAGCGTTACAATATGATTGCTAAGATCTAGTTAGATATTCTAGTTGAGATTCGATTATGTGAAATATAATATAAAATAAATCTCGTTTTCATATTTCTCATACATGATTTCTGGATTGACGACTCGCCCAAAAATTTGCCTTTCAAGTTATCTTTCCTTCCTTCAGTGCTTAGTTTGACAAGCTCGTCAGTTCGTCTGCATATCCTTTGCGTCCTGTTTATCCCTG